GCCTATTCGATCGGTGTTCGCACATTTCTGAGTGAATATATATATACATATGTATATATAATTCAGTAGTGCCGATTAGGCGATGGATTTTGACACTGCCATCTTATTAGTCATCCTCATTCGGCTTTAGTTCGCCCGGACCTAAAACGAAAGAACCTGCGTTTGAGATTTAGATACGTGGCTGACTACCACTTATAAGCCACCAGTGTAGATTCGAATCTCCCTTACTTTTGGTGGCAAACACCTTCTGTCATCGTTTGACTGTCATAATCCGAAACACGACTAACAGTAAATGCTCCTCCTATTCTCATATGTACATATATATGGAGTGGATCCGACAAGGACAAGGGAGATCGGAATGGTCATTTGTGGCTTTTCAGCCATTATCACGTAGTCATACCCAATCTCAAGGGTTTGAACCCTCGAGATTCCGGTCTTCCTTGTCTTTGTCAGATCCATTCTATCATATATCTGAGGTCGCTAAGTGCAGCCTGATATCACTCAAGTACGAGCCTCAAGGCACTTCCCGGACAAGTATATGCCTTAACCGGAGAGATCGGATGAACACCCCAGTTGCATTAACTTTCAATCTAATTGCCAATAATAGTCTTTATAAGCACGCATAATACTGAATAAAGCAAGTAGTTTAATATAATGTGAAGACTAAATAAAATTTCGGCCAATTCTACTTAACAAATACGCTTTCCTGCCTCATACGCTTGCCTTACCGCAAAACAAGGAAAATCAACAGTTTACCTTTTTAACGGAAAGGACATTAAAGGCAAAATTGAAGCTTGGGACGTACGATGTGGAACTAGGACAGTGTTCTTGTCCGGACTTTTAAGGTCCTCGGTATAAAACTGTATTCCTCCGTTCAGCTCTATGTTCTGTAAAATGAAGTCATCAGTAAGTTAAGGGGGTTTTAATGAACATTTTCTGCAGCATATAAAATAGGCTTCACTGACCTTAACGTCCTCGTCGTATAAAAGCATTAGCGGCGTCCACTTCTTGGGGTCCACCTCGACCCTTTCACGTTTACCAACGCCACTGGGAACCGGCAGATCTAGAGTGTTAAATAGTATTCTGATTGGTAGGCAAGTAAGAAAGATATGAAGTTGCCCGTCTTACATACCCCTGTTACCCCCCTTTTTGACTCACAGCCTTAACACATGCATACTATCTACTGGCCTTAGCAATAATGATAACTAAAATTAGCACTTTAGCATAGGCACGTGCCCATAGCAGCAGTGTCTCAGTCCGTACCTAACAGAAACGTACACAGCTCGATGGATCGAGCTGTGAGTACGGAAACAAACACAAACGCTGCTGTGCTCAGGACCCCAAGCATGTACTTATCCGAAATAGTTAAACCAAGAGTCACAGTCCTCGTTGATACCAAGGGCATATGAGCCCTAGCGTTGGCTTAATGAGCTTCACTTCTGACAAATGGTGGCGTCATTACCAGCACCAGTATTACTGGACCTCTTGCCGAGATTGAGGGGATATGAGCCCATTGCTGACTTTATTTAGAGTCACTTCTGACGTACAAAACAGTCAGTAATATTACCGGCAAGTACTATCACTAACCTACACCCTAGTAAGTACTATTAGAAGTAGCAGTACCAGTTCTGCTTTATTAAAGTCTAGCCAGACACCCACTAAGGGTTAGCTTTCGGTAGATAGTACATCAGTACCAGCGCAAAAGGCTATTGTCACTTAAAAATAAGTAAGGCTGTGTTTCGGCTTGCATGTGGAAAGCAGCCTAGGCCGGACCCTGTTTAGTCTTCGAGACTCTGGGTTAAGACGAAGAGTGCGGAGCCGCTAAATACATCCTCTATCACTTTAAAGCTAACACCTAAGACTGTCACCTTCTAGACCAACCTTTTGGTGCACTTCGTGGAATTCATTGAAATCGACCGTCGAATACACACACACCTGATATTATACCTGAGACGGTTATATGCTAGTAGAATTTGACATATTGAAGAGCTGAAATGCGGTTTGAGGTTTACTGGGGATGTTGCCCAGCAGTGTGGATTCGCGTTAATGGAGATAAACTTTGCAGAGAAATGCAAGACAGAAACTGGAATTGCCATTTCTGGCTCATAAGCTAGTCATACTGGGCAACCCATGGTGGTGCGACAGCCGAGGCTCGAGACTTCAACTTGTTGATCAGATACCCAACTCTCTGACCATTGGCTTAATGGCTTAATCACAAATAAATGTAGATAGCTTTCCTTGAATGTAGAGGCAGCCAGCTGGGAAGCTGGTCTTGCAAAGTAGTACCGAAACATTATAGCGCTAGATTTCTGGCCGAAAGTTCGTAAGGTTGTGTACCATTTGGAATGGCTTATGACCGACTGATGAGGGCTTAGGAGCCGTAAATGGCGATTCCAGTCTGCCTTGCCTTTGTCGGCACTTGTGTAGAACCTTTAGCTAACCCTAGACCACTTGGTATAACATTTTGCCGGGAAATTCATTGTTAGGAAATAAATTCCAGGGAAACCATAGTTAAGCCTACCACATGTAGCCTGAAGTGAAAAAATATAACATTTTCGAAAATAAACTGTACGCTGGTCAAATAAATACTCAAAGGAGTTAAACACACACCTGGCAGGCTGCTGCCCTGTTCATTCACAACGATGGCAGTGGGCGCCTTCTCTGGGCTACTTGGAGTGAAAACGATAGTTGCTGGTCCAGAACCGGGAATTCCCAAGAACATTCCGAATTCCTTATCTAAGGGCCGATACAGACCATAGGGGATGTTTAGTTTAATATGAAACATGGGAAGCATCCTTGCGACTGATAGACAGACTCTAAATTGTTGATGCATTAAGGGAGAAAAATGGTCCATTCTTTACATTCTTTACCTGTTAACGGTTGCCAACAGAACTCTGCAATGCTGCATGGATTGGAGTGGGAACCTTCTCTAAGGGTTTGCTTTCCTATTGTAATTAACTGTAATAAAAAGTATTCACAATAAATCAACATCACTAAAAATGTAGATTTCATTGAGCATGAACATGTTCGACAACAGTATGAGAGTAAACTATTTCCATATACCTCAGGCTGCTTATCGAATCGATGTTCGAAAAGCAAGTGTGTATTCGGGGCTGTTGTCCAAACTCTATAGTGGTTTTTGCCTACAAAAATCAAAAAAAATATTTGTATTCCTGCTCACTAAACATTCGTAGCTCTTCTAGATATGGATGTAAGCGCATCAACAGTACACATACCCAATACACAGGTTGTAAGTGCCAGGACAGTGAAGATGCGAAACATTGATGTTTAGAAGTAGTTTCTGGCAAAATACGTTTTGTAAACCAAGGCTGCCTGGAGCCAGTCAAACATTCGTGTATATTTATATATGATCCTCGTGTAACGCCTGGCAGCGGACGCGGTTTGTCTCTGTGTGAATGCAAACATTGCACGTTGATTGGTGGAACACTTGTGCGACAAGTTTCTGATTCGAAGGAGAATGAGAGAGAGAAAAATGGTCACATCGATATACCCGGGTCGTTTGCAATAGTCCGCCTTTTTAAAGTTGACATCAGGAACATTTATTGATTCTATGGATAGTACATCAGAAAAGGTCAGCCTAGCCACCCGTTTCTACGATATCATTTCTGGTTCTGTTTAATACAGAAGGCGTCTTCAATCCACCGTAAATTCTAATCGAAATCATCAACTTATCTGCATCCTACCCTTCATCAACTTAGACCTTGATTCTTGTTCGGACCTATCATCAGCAATAAAAGAGATGAAAATTTTGAATGCAGTGTCCCGACCAAATAAAGGCTCTCAAAGCAAAAAACTTGCTGAACTGGTTCGTTTCCGGATGCGATGTGCGATGAGTTTGACGGATCTGGAGTGAGCTCAAGTCTGGCAGCCTAAGACGACCAGTATCGATCACCATGACGATCTGGACGCTCATTACGGCAGCAGGCTTGCCCTCACTCACTGACTGACGCCTTACTACAACGACCGTTAATCTCAACTGTGTATTTTTTAATCTCAGTTTTTTGCCAGCACATTTTCTAAGCTTTCGTTGTGTTTATAGCATAACATGTAAAACTTCCAGTCAGATGATCATTGGTCAACGACCCGCTCAATGACGTAACGATCACATTTTATAAACAAGTGATATGCACCTACGTATGTTGGTAAAAGAACGTGAAGGCCACTTTCCTCGTTGTCATTGCAGTCCATTTTTAGGAGTCTAAGTAATCATTGCGCTTACAATCATCAGGCCGAATCTCAGGTTGTGAGTAAAAGACAAGAGGCAGCAGAATGAGATTTATTGTGCTCAGTACCCTCTTTTGCTGTCTCAGGCAGTAATTGTAGCCACTGGCGAACCAAGGCTGATGCTGACTGTGTCCAGTCACGCCCGATATATTCTCACTGTGTGTTAATTATGAAGCGTTTTCGTGTGGTGTGCCATTGGTACGTTGCACTGCCCGGTGGGGCTTTCGCCTTAAGAGGATCCTGCCGCTTCAGACAGGGAGTGGTATGTTCAAGTGGCCCTTGGGATTCGGCGACTAGTTGGGCATGCGTGTGTGCGCAAGTGCGTGTGCAAGTGAATGTCGGTGAAGGGTTTTGAGGTCAGCGCGTCATAAACAGCCGTTTGCGAAGGCACATAGCGTTGACGCAGCTTTGTTGGCTGTCCGCAAAATCATCCCTTCCTCCGGTTCACAGTAAACCACCACTAACATTCCAACCACCTACAACCTGGGTGTATTGACCGACTGAGTCCATCCACACCGCCAAAGGCTTTGTCTGCTGTCTGCTGTCCCCTTCCTACACAGGGAACCGTAGCAGATCTAACCCCCTTCCCTCACCCAAAGTTCTACCTTAGTTATGCGTCCACCACTCCCTCCTACTCTAAACACTAGTTGTCTGTCCCTCCATGTATACCCTGTCACCTCAACTGGTCCAAGCTGGCCATCTCACTTTCTCCTTTGTTCACTGAGTCTGACGACGGGTTGGCTTCGCCAAGTTGAAGATTTCCGAGTATAACTCGATTTTTCTGACAGGTTTTTCTCCTTAACACATATATATATATGAGAAAAAAAGTAATTTCCTTAGCCATGTATATGTATGAAGGCATAATGGCATAACCTACAAATAGATTAAAATGTCCATTTTTGTTTCATTAGCCGTCACCAAACAGTTACACAGGATCCTTTGGTCACTGCCAGTTCTGTTTTCTCCACATTATTAACAACCATCTCTTACATGTTTTAAAGATACTGAGTTGTTTTTCGGTTAGCAGATGTTATCCTTTTGGAAATATTATATTTTGTAGGAAATCTTTTTAATTATTGGTAAGTGGTTTTCCCTTTTTATAAGGTACAGGCATCTGTTCTGCTCACACTGAGGGTATAAAACTTATGAACCGCAACAGCAGAGAAAGTTATTATTTCCACGGGCATGACTTATCGGTTACACATCCCCTACCTTCTCAGTACTATGGTGATTTCTATAAATTCTATTCCTTTCATCATCCTCGAAAGAGGAAGAAGATGAAGAGACGATTTCTGGGACCATTGTATATTTTGGCTGACGTTTCAAAAGCGTGCTCGCTTCCATCGTCAGAGCGTGGTGTCTGTACTCCTGTTCGTGTCAGATGAATGTGTCCGACCATTAGCCTTGCCTAATGCTCATGCGTCAATCGATTGCACGGATGGATTTCTGTGGCTGTTTGAATTGCTCGTGCCCTCACGGGCGTCTTCTGCTTCCTCTTCCGGGATGATGAGAGGAATGTTTTATCTGGACCTCGAATTTTTTCGCATATAAGTTCTATCATTAAGGTAACTTCACACCGGATATTTCTGAGGAGTAAAAGTTGTAGAATATCATTTGACCTAAAGAAATGGCGATTAGCACCAGTGGAAGCCATAGGGAGACAACATACAGACAACATACAGCCAACAGATGAATCATCTGATTAATTGGCAGGCGTTCCAGTGTTTATACTGAAGTTATCATGAGCAAAGCATAGTCTACAAACCCTAACTGTCACGGTACTTAAATATTTCGAGTACTTTAGGGCAGTCATTCGGAGCATGTTTCTGTGGCCAAACAAAAAAATTATTTGTCTCGATGCCTGCACCGTCACACATCACTTTACTCCTCCTTACTCAATAATTTATATACATAATATTATAAAGATGTTATAACCTTCCCTATGACTTATGATTGATCTTTCCCCTATACAATATTGCTTGTTTTCGTTGACAATTTTATTTCTGTAAATATTCCCACCCACCACGCCAATTTCGCCCACTAACACATACTGATAAAGTCCACAGTAGCGAGACGACGGCCAAACCACACAATTATTGATTTTCTACAAGTTCAAATTTTAACTGTTTTGTGAACACGCCAGAACTAGCTACCTCATTTGCTGCTTTTCCCTACTCTGATGATGGGCTCCTGCAGGAGCCCGAAAGCTCAGGCTAATAATATAATAATTCCAGTGTTCGATAATTCTTCTTCTTCTCAAAACCTTGGATGTGCCTACGTCGACACTGTTTATATCCCCGAGTTGCGTGTTAGTAAAGGAAGGCAGACAGGATAACATGGAATACTGTACTGTCACAGTTCCTGCTTGCATATCAACTCTGTCTTCTGTGTGTCCGGCAGCTTGTCCTGTGTCCGTCAGCAGC